GGCCGAGTTGGCCACTGCGGCGAGACGATGAGAGCAAGTCCGGGAGAGAGAGAGCGAGAGAATAATTGCCACGGAGAGGCACACTTCCACAGAACAGATGGACGGACAGTCAAGGCAATCGGGTATTTTCATCGATTAAACGCTGTCCCCGGGCCTGACCACACCTCGAGCCTCTGGCCCGTTCCAAGCGACCACGGAAACGGTGACAGCCACGACCATGCTGGTCACCACCGCTGACAGTTTAGTGATGATGAGACTCACTCGACAAGCACTCGACAAGATCAGTGTGCAGATTAAACACTTACATTGAGTTCAGTTCGGTTGCTCTCCAAAGCTGCAATTGCCCAGCAAAAACCCGACAGTATTGACGCTGCTACGGTAATCGAACCAGGTAAACCAGAGAGTGTGAAAAGAATCAGAAAGCTTTCTGCCGAGCTTCATCAGCGAGACTCTTCCCGGCAATCGTCACGCTGTGGTGGTGAGCAAAGTCGCCAGAGGACGTTACTGCGCAATCCTGCCATTTTGTAGTAGGCGGAGCCTCACAGCCTTTGTCTGGAAGAAGCGATAGAGCAGAGCAGAGAAGGGAGAAAGAATCTTCGAGTGCGTCCACTCTAATCAAACCTGTGCTTTCACCTGTCCACTTCGGTATCCCACTCACCTCGGTCCCCTGTCCCCGGCCGCCGCGCTCGCTTCCTCGGTGATCACCGGTGCTTTGCCACGCGCCCAATCGGTCTCCCTCTCACCCTCTCTCTCCCTCTCTTCGCCGATACTAGCAAGTGCCATTACCCTCCGACGTACACACACACACACACACACACACATTTTCTTTGCATCACCGGCAATAAGTATTCCTCAATCATGGCTGACACCACCGAAACAATGGTATGCGCTTGAATGATTGTTTTTATTTACGTCAACTAACGTGTACTCTCTTTACTCGGAAGAAAACCGAAACCCCAGCCGAGAAGACCACTGTGACGAAGGCTGAGCCTATGGCTACTGATGAAGCTAATTCGGCTCCGGCTGAGAGTACCACTGCGGCTGGCGGTGACCAAGGAGAAGAGAAAAAGCCAGCTGAAAATGGCACCGAAGAGTCAACAACTGATAGCGCTGATTCGCCGCCAAAACTATTCGTTGGTCGCCTTCCACTTGGAACAAAGGACACTCAGTTGAAGGAGCTCTTTGGTACTTATGGTGAAGTGACTCATTGTGATATTGTTGGCAAGTACGGTTTTGTGGTAAGTGGTCATCGGCATTTCTTCTGAACAAATGACTAATTGCCGCTTTAGCACATGAAAAACAAAGGAGAGGCCGACGAGGCAATGAAAAAACTAAACAATCATCCCTTCAACGGCTCCAACATCACCGTTCAGGTTTGCTACTAGAAACCTTATTTTTCAAGGCCACTAAATAAGCTATTCAATTTGTAGATGTCAACCTCTACCGCTAAGAAAACCAAGAAGAAGCCGAACCGCAAAAATTTCGACAACAAAAAGAACACCAACAACGCAAATGCTAGTACCAATTCCAACCAGGCAACACCCAACCGACGACCGAACGTGAAGAATGGATTCCAGCAAAAGAACAAGAACACAAACGGAGGCAACAACAACAGCAGCAACAGTAACAACGCCAAAAGTGGCATCAACAACAACAATGCTAACAACCGCAACAAAAATGGCAATGCCAACAACAACAACAACAACCTGGGTCACAACAACCGACAGAATGGAATGATGAACAAGATGCGAAGCCGAAAGTTTCCCACTCATCATCGCATGCAGCCGATGATGCCACAGCTGGCACCGATGAATCAAGGCTACTACCCGAACAACCCGCCACCGATGAATCAACAGCCGTACCACCAGCCTCAATATCCGTCAATGCAGCCAGTTGGTGGTCCTCGTGATATGTACTACAATAGGCCGATGGACAATGGCCAGTACTACCGCTCAAACGGGCAATCACCGCAGCCGATGTACGGTGGAGGTGGCGGCGTGGGTGGCATGCAGCCTCAGGTGCCGCCGCCTCAGCAGAGCTACTACTCGCCGCCGCAGCAGCCGTACAACAGTCGAGTGGGACCAGTGGGAGGCATGGGCAAGATGAACCCTATGCCGGCTCACCAACAGCCCCAGCCGCCAATGTACGGCAGCCCGATGGGCATGGCTCCGATGGGGGCGAACCCTTCGCCCAGTATGAACACTGGTTACGGTCAGATGAACTCGGGTTATGGAAACAGCCCAATGATGGGCAGCAATGGCGTCAACAAGTATGTGGGTGGTTATACCAGTTACTAGTTAAAGTGTGGCGAGACACTTCTAACTATAAGTTAAACTCCTAAAGTTTTACCACTAGAAACGGATATGCCCATGCGAGAGGAAACAACACTAGGTGAGTTTGGCGCCAACTGTCGTTCTTTCAAGCTGCTAACGCTGAGTCTTGTTCATTTCAGATTTACCAACTACACCCCTAATTACAACCGACCAAACAAGCGAGCAAAGTTAAACTGAGACGTCAGCTGTACTGTTTTGTCAGTCGCTTCCGACTTGCTATCTAATTTATTTAGACGAAACATTTTTCCTTTGAAAAGTGCACGTACGTACCAGTCTATCTGTCTCTCATTTGTCTCGCGGTCATTCTCAAGTTTGCAATCTGCTGACGACACTTTTCACTGCATTTAGTAGCTCGTCTTTGTAGCACACATTTCTCGCTCTCTCTCTCTCGCATCACCAGCTACACTTCTCCTCCTCCTCCTCCTCCACCTTCTCTAGGGACACTCCATCCAATTTTTTCATTCTTAATAATACTATAAGCAACAACCAGACTTGTTTGGCAGAGACACTCGCAAACTCCTCTCGCCTCTCTTTTGCAGAGACACAACTTCCTCTCGCCCTTTTCTTTTATTCCACATATTAGTAGTCCTATCCTTTATTAATACCATAATATAATTTAGTTTTATATATTTTATTTATTAAGCAATGATGTTGAACATCATTGGGTGTTTTGAGTGGAGGTTTAAGATCGACCACATGCTATGTTGCCGAAGCAGTCCGTTGAATACTCTCTCGACTATATCATTTTAGTTTGCTATTCACTGATAATTCGGCTGTGGCTCTCCTCTCTTCACACCCAGAACGCCTCTGTCTCTTCTTTCCATCCCCTCGACTGACACTCTTGTAATGATGATGACGACCATATTTATGATTCTATCTGTCACGAGCCGTAATTCAAACTTATAAGATGCTCTCTTGTGCAAGCAATGCTCTCCTGTTGCATTGACCACCTGCACTATTTCTTATTTCAATTTTAGATATATCTTTTTTTTCTGCGAATCATGTATATGCTTTGATTAATAAATTGTGTTTTAGTGACCTGCCCAGGCACTTGGGTTGCTATAAAATATGAGGAAGGGGAAAGAGCGTGAGAGAAGCTTCTGCACATCTTCACTTTTCTGCAGTATTAGTCTATGCACTGTATGTTCCACTCTGTCACTGGAGTGCGGAGATCTGTCCCACTTGAGGACACCGTTCTCGAGACACTGTCCGACACTATCTGCCACCTCACAAGTTGGGCTCTCTCAAAACTGCAGCCAACTTTGCTGAGTGTCCTCCTATCTGGTTCAAATGAAACTTCGGTGCGAGTGTCTGAGATGACCACTTCAGAAGGAGAACAGCTGTCTGTTCGGGTTGCGAGACTGTCACACAGCTGCCCCTGTCGTAGGCCCTGTTGCCCAAGGAATACCTCTGCTGCCCAGTGATCCTCTGCTACTCTGGTGCTGAATCACTTGCTGAATTCACTGGCGTCTTTGCTGAAGATTTGTGAAACGCTAGTCCGCTCACTTTTCTGTGAGCACTTCTGATGCGATGCCACAGGTGCTGACAGAACAGCTCTTCTGCTGACTGAGCAAGAAGGCAATCTTGAAATCTGCAGCGTCTACAACCTCTGAGGATGACGCTCTGCTGGTGCCCTAAGTATGCACACTTCTGAAACGGTTTTTCTGACCCTTTCCCCTCGTTTCTAATTTATTATTAATGTCTACCTTCCTTCCTCTTACTGTGATAATGCCCTCTTCTTTTTCAAATCTTCTCTTTGCGGCCTGTTTCGGTATTTGCGTGTAGCCTATACCGAACTGGCATTGCATTGACACCCCCGCAATTCAGGTGAACACTTGAATGAAGGCAGGTCAACTCGGCCAATTGCCTAGTGTAGAGCCTCTTGGCCGCTGAGCCTCTTCACCTTCTCACTTTTAGGACCTGTCTGACCGTCTGTAGGCTCGTTCGTCTTCCGGTTATGCCTCGCACAATCCTTCATGCTGACATACCAGCAAAGATCCCTACATTCCACCTACTTCTACTTCTTCTACCCGATCTCACTAGGGAGAGAGAAGTGCACTTTAAAGTGCACTTCTCCCTTCGGTTCCACAACCACTCCTTTTCCGTCCAGTTGCTTTAAACTCTCATTACTAGTTTGTGAAAAACAGGTTTCTACTTATTCCTCTTATCATTTTTTGTACTGATTAAATAAAAATGCTCAATTTGTCTGAAAATAAAAGTCCAATTTCTGTTCCGAATAATTTGAAAATCTCCAAATGCGTCCGACTATGTCGACTGCCACTTGCACTAGACTATTTTTACCTGCTTTGCTCAGTTTCGCTTTGGATCGCATCTTTCTTCCCCTATCTGCGTCGACGACATCACCGATAAACCCATTTGAAGAAGAACAGTACCCGTTTAAGTCAAAAAGTGAAAAGTAAGTTTTCCCAGGTACCACAAAACTGACGCACAGGCTCGCCAAGTAGTGGCTCATCAAAATCAGCCCGTCTCTCTGCCGGCATCGTGGACTGCACATGCGCAACAGTGACTTGCTCGTATCCACGTTTCTCTCGAGCCATCTTTCCGGCATAAGAATCAGCCCTCATCACCATCAGGCTTTCTGCCGCTTTGTTGTGCATTCCCTACCACTTCTCACCAGTTATTTACCACCTCCCAATCACCTCGAAGATGACCGAGTGGGACCTGACGCCGGTGCTGGCCAAGTACCTCGACCCGCAGTTGGTCATTGGTCTGCTGGAGTTTCTCGAAAACAAGGAGGTAACATTTTGACGACCACTTGACACAGCCCCCGTTGAGTGATGTGACTAATGGACTTTATTTTTGTACCTTTAGATCTACCCGTCTGAGGAAATTTTCAAATATAAAGTAGATATTTTGGATAAGAACAATCTGCTTGACTATCTGGTGCACGTCTACGAGAACTACAATATGGCCGTGCCAAAAGAGCTGCTTGAGAAAAAGGCCAAATTAGCCGAGGAGACGAATCGTGTCACCAGCGAACTTCAAGAAGTCTTTGCCGCCCTTGGCGATTTGGACGAGCAGCAGCAGTTGCAGGTTCAGCTGCAGAGTAAACAACTGGTATGTGTCCAGATTTGAAGTGAGTAGAGCAGCTTTTTACTTACCATTTGTTTTCAGTTTTCGCCTGAGAAAGTGAATCTTCTGTACGACTTTGCTCGCATGAACTACAGCTCTGCGCAGTATGCCCAAGCGATTGGCTTCCTCAACACCTACCAGATGCTGATCACGCCTCAGGATAAAAACTACGTGAACGTCATGTGGGGCAACCTGGTGTGCTCGATTCTGGCGTTGGAGTACAAACAGGCGCTGGATCACTTCAACGTGATCAAGGGCTACATTGACAACTCCAACTTTACGCCCACTCAGGCCCTTCAACAGCGCACCTGGCTCATCCACTGGGGCCTGTTTATCTTTTTCAACATTGAACAGGGCCGTGACATGCTGGTGGAGCTCTTCTTTGACACCAAAAGCATGGGCAACAAGAACGCGCAGAACCCCTACCTGAACGCCATCCAAACGTCGTGTCCTCACATTCTGCGTTATCTGAGTGCTGCTGTCATTACTCACCGGCAGCGACGTAACTGCATGAAAGATCTGGTACGCTTCATTCAGCAAGAGTCGTACAACTACCGCGATCCGATCACCGAGTTTGTCGAGTGCCTCTACGTCAACTTTGACTTTGACGGCGCCCAGAAGAAGCTTCGCGACTGTGAGGTGGTCATTCGCATCGACTTCTTCCTCACTGGCTGCATCGACGACTTTATTCAAAATGCTCGTCTCTTTATTTTTGAGATCTTCTGTCAAATTCACGAATGCATTTCCATCAAGTAAGTTGATGCTTGGACACTTTGAGTGGCTTTCAGTTGTTAACTCTTCTTTTCTCAAACAGCATGATCGCCGACAAGCTGAACATGACCAATGACGACGCCGAGCGATGGATCGTCAAGTTGATTCGTGATGCGCACTTTGACGCCAAGATTGACTCCAAAAACGGCCACGTTATTATGGGTACCCAGGCACTGTCGCAGTACCACCAGCTAATAGAGAAAACGAAAGCCATGCGTCTGCGAACAGAGATGCTCGCCGTCAACATTGAAAAGACTCTCCACAAAAAGGCCGATCGCTCAATGTGGAATTAGTCTTTAGTTAGGAAAAGTACCATTATCTTATTATTTTCTTCTCAATTTGTCTAATTTTGTCTAACTGAAAAAACCTGTTCTCTGTAATGAAGCAAAGTATTTGCTGTATTTATGCAAAAATAAAAGATGAGGTGTGTTTTACATGATGGAATGTGGCTCCTTGTTAAACAATCTCTCCGCAACTCGAAATGACCACTCGCTTTGTCGGCTTACCGCTTTTGGTGCCGCACTCTTCGATCTTCTTGACAATGTCCATGCCACCAGTGACTATTCCGAAAACGACGTGCCGAGAATCTAGCCACTCTGTCCTTGCCGTGGTAATGAAAAACTGTGACCCGTTTGTGTTTGGCCCTGAATTGGCCATCGACAAAACTCCCGGACCAGTGTGTTTCAGGGCAAAGTTTTCGTCCTCAAACTTTCGTCCGTAAATTGACTTTCCGCCAGTTCCATTGTGGTTGGTGAAATCGCCACCTTGAAGCTGCATGGGAAAAGAGTTAATGTTTTCATATCAAAAATAACGCAAACAAAGAGTACCATAAATCCAGGAATGATTCTGTGAAAGGTGCTGCTTCTGAAACCGAATCCCTTCTCATGGGTGCACAAACAGCGAAAGTTTTCCGCCGTCAGCGGGACGACGTCTTTTCGGAGGAGAATGCGAATCCGCCCCGCATACTGACCGTCAATTTTAACGTCAAAGAACACGGATGGATTGGCTTTGGTCTTTTCACCTGCTGGCTCAGTGCTGTCTGCTGATTCCGCTTGTCCTTCTCCGTCTTCTTTCGCCTCCCCATCATCACCTTCATCATCGTCATCAGGAACTGGCATATTATCATCGTCTTCAAGCATCTTTCCAACGGCTGCATTTCCAGTGCCCAGTGTTTTACCAGCATGTTTACTCAGCCACTCATCATCGGCCCAGATGGCTTTGAACGAGGCTTCACGTAGCTTGGCCGGCTTGGCCAGGTTGACGCGAATCGTTCTGCCTGTAAACAAAACAGAGATCAGAATTCGGTTGATTACCAAAGCAAAGGTACGTACCAAATATTTCTGAATCATTCATGTTATCAATCGCCGCCGAAGCGTCGTCGGCTGATTCAAATTCAATAAAGGCGAAACCTTTGTGTTTCTGGGTGATGTAATCAAGGGGCATGCTAATGTCGATGATATCACCAAATGTGAGAAATGCCGACCGAAGAATCTTGTCGTCAACATCTTCTGCCAGACCACCGCAGTAGACCATTCGCTTGTTTGCTGCCGCAACAACTGACATTTTGGTTTAACTAGTAAGATAGGTTCAACGGTGTCAACTGAATGTTAGTGATCAAAAAGATGTTTGAAGTTTTACACGTGCTGGATCACTTTCATTTGTATTGTTGTGCCGGCTGATGAGCTACACCACGTTTATGAATGAGTCAAGAATGGAATCAACTCTTATTTTTTATTTTGTGGGGTATATCTTAAACGATCCTTTACCTTTTTCATAAAAGTAGATGATCTCATTAACTTGCAAAGCTCTGCTATAAAAATCTATTTAACTTTTATTCAGTTATCTAACCACTAAAAATTGCTATTAGAAGTTTTTAGGTATTACAAATCAGTAAATGTTCAGTTTTTCTACATGGAAGTTTATACAATTTAAAAGGTCTTGTTTAACGAAATTTTATCAGTATGAGTGAGCCAAAGTGCTTATCAAACTCTTTCGATTCCGGAAGTTTCAAAAAATGAAACCATGTGTTGAGCCGGACGAAAATCGAATTCGCAACCTTCTGATCTGGAGTCAGACGCGCTACCATTGCGCCACCAGCCCTACTCTAATTGACAATACAAAAAGATACCTCTTTAATCGTATTCATTTTTGAGTGCTGGCTTTTCTGCGTGAAGCATTTCGATGTAACTTTTTAGGCATCTTTAGGAGCAAACTTCGCAGCATCCAGTAATCGCCATTGGCAGTTGGCATTTTAATTATTAAAAATAAAATGTTATAATGACAAAACAGTTTATGCAGTTAACGTTTTTTAAACTGCTGCTACTGAAACAGTAACATGAAAAATTTTGAAAAATAGCAATATGAACAGCAAAGGTGATTTGCCTATTACATTTTGCTCTTCATTACTTTACTCTTGACCACATTGCTTTTGGTGCTCGACGACTTGAGTGCCGCTCCTGAGATGCTGGACTTTTGTAATCCAGCACTCTTAACGACTACTTTTGAGGCTAGTGCACTGGAAAAGTGGTTGCTGACACTTGTGCTGGATTTGGTGGAGACTGAAGAAGAACACAAAATTGGTTAGATTCAATAGAGTGAATTTCTCAAATCAACGTACATCGAGGAGCAGAAGACTTTTTAGCCGAGGCAGAGCGCTTATCGCTTCTTAGCAAAGTGTCCGAGTTGGCTCTCTTTTTCTGAGCTTTTTCTATCTTTTTGCGTATGATAGCATCTTCTTCGGCTTTGGCTTTGGCTTCAGCCGCCAGTTTGGCTGCAAACTTCTTTTTATCCTGCAAGAGCACCAATGTGATAATGACCGACAGGATGGCAATAATGACGCCGAGCACAATCATGATGATCGTCTTTCCGTTTGATTCATCAGCTGAAGTCAACAAAGAATGTAGTAAATTAAATCAAAAGTAAAACTACTCACCGACTGGTTCAGGAATTGGCGCCTCGGTGCTGCTGACCAGCTCTACAAAAGGAAAGAAACTAATGAAGTACATCATAAAAACAAGTGAAACTGAGTAGAAAACTTGAAAATCACGCATACTAAAAAGAAAAGGTGACCTAAAATGATTTTGCTTTGTAGAGCAATTTGTAAAATAAGAAAAACTGGTCAAAACTTTTCGAACTTAACTGCACATAAATAAAACGCTCAGTGACTCTTTAATTCGAATACTTTGTAATCACAAAACTTCATTCTCAGTGGTAACTTGGTTTTCTAATTCCGATGCTCTGTTGTTCACTCTACTGACTTCATTTTCTCTAATCACAGAATATCATAGCAATCATTGATCAGAGATTCTAACATGGAAAGTGCACAAAACCGGCACACTTACCTGAACTTTTCTCTGACAGACATAAGAGGGAATGTAAAAAAGAAATTCAGTCTCAGTACCCCTTTTCACCTAACCCTAACACCAAAAAAGAACCCCCGATGGAACAGTGGCGATGACAGCACACGCCAAACGTCACAATTGAAGTGTGCAGTGTATCTTCTGGCCTCCACTTTCTTTCGCTATCAGTGACGCAACAGTTGAGCTGGGAGGAACCGCCTGCGAATCAGTCGGTGCTTACTCATCAGTGATAATCACTCGCTCTCTTATCAGCAAACGTTCAGTTTCGATATTACGATTCTGTTTTCTCTCTCTTTCTCTCTCTCTTTCTTCTCTCGGTCATTCGCGTGTCTAACCTCGAGGTGAACGGTTCGCTCTACTCAAAACACTTTCATTCTCTCAACTGGCTACCTGCGCTCTCTTCTCTTTCTACTGCTTCTTCAGTTCTTGAAGTTCTCTGCATCTCTCTTCTGAAGTGCTCAAGAACAGCAGGAATCGACCTTGGTCAAGAGGTCACTGTCCCGTTCATCTGAAACTCCTTCGGTATTTACCAGCAATCATTTCTATTTTATCTTTTCGAAAATGAAGATTTTCAATTTTCGATTTTCATTTCTACTTTTTAGAAAAATGGAAGGCTTGCAAATGCCAACTACCAAGCAGCAGTTTTTCTACTATGTAGAACAACTAGAGCCCGTGCAGGAAGAATGGCAAACGCGAAGACTTCAGACACTACTGAACTGTTTCAAGTTGCTTTTCCGCCAGGCCGAGCTGTTTCAGTTCAGTTCAAAGTTCATCAATTTTGATCTGCGACTGCTCTTCAAGCACCTTCTTCCCTACTCAATTCAAGTCGAAGTGACTCCTTTTGAGTTGAAGACCAATAAAGAAATGGAATACTTTCTCCGCAAACTCGAACATGCCATTCTCAAGCGAGTGACTTGTGAGAGGGAAAGTAGAATGCGTAACTCACTTCGCCACTCCTACCGCTCCAGCGAACAGAGCAGTGCGCCGCGCTGCGTCTTCTGCAACTACACAGACCACCCGAACTACGGCTGTCCGATGGGGTACCGGCAGCGCGTGTCGGTCATCAGGATGAAGCGACTCTGCTTCAGCTGCCTCCGACCTGGCCACCAGTCACGCGACTGCATGATGGACATCCAGTGCCGCCACTGCGGAGCAGACCACTACAACTACATGTGCGTTTGGAACGACCGCGTGCCACGTTTCACTCGTCCCGACGCCTGGGCCGGTTCGCAGTCACCCAAACCTGAAGAAGAACGCCACTAGCCACTCTCACCTCGATCGAACTGAAAAGCCACAAAGCATCGTAGAAGCGCGCCACCACCAAGCTATTCACATATTGTTTAGAACATTTTACCTAATTCCATTCACTAAACTTCCTCACAAGTTTCATATGACAAACCAAGCACTAATTCATTCAAGTTGATAACAGACAGAGCATCAATAAAAAAGTACTAATGTAGAAATGTAGAACCGAATGTGTATTCAGTGATTCTCTACTGGAGGCAAGTTATAAATATGTAGAACAAAGATAAAAAGAGAAAGACAACGAGTAAGTGTGTTGATTTGGTTTGTGTAGGTGATGATGATATTTTGTGGTCATGGTTGTGTTTGTGTTTTTGTGTCGTGTAAGAGGGATGGAGGAGAAGGAGGTGGACAGAGAGAATGAAACAAAAAGGTGTGACTAGTGTGTGTGATAATTAAGAAATTATTGCAACGATAACAAACAATGGAAAAGGGAGGAAAGTGAAAAAGAATGATTGGGCGAAGAGAAGGAGGAAAGCACCAGCAGAAGAGAAGAGAACAACAACATCAGTTGACTGATTTGGAACGAGCACAAGTGGGCTGCATTCAAATGATTGCTGAGTTATCATCACAGGCAATGTCATTTAGGTCGCTCGCCAGGCTGCTAGCATTAGGACTGTTGTTGGACATTTTCATGTTTGACTGCAAAATAGAAAATAGAAATAAAAAGAGGCATTTATCACCCATTTAAACCAAACTTACCGACTTGCTAGGGCGAGCAAACAACGATACTTTTCCGTCTTGATTGGCAATAGTAATGTAGTCCTTGCAGAAGATCAACTCCGTCAGACGCTCATGGGCCACCTTCTTGCAGACATGCGGCTCCAGCATGGGCACATCGTCCAAACGCGGACAAAGGGCGGTGCCCAGCAGTCGCCCAGGGTCACAGATGGTGGCACTGCTGCTGTGGTTCTGGGCGTGATTTGAGCCCAGAGATCCGGTGCAGTTGGTGAGCATCATCTGACCACTGGCACTGCCTGAGGAGGCGTTATTCGCCTTGTGGTGCTTGTCCGAAAAGGAGCGACTGCTGAGGGAGAAGGATTTGTGGTGTTTGTGATGCGACTCGCCAGACTTTTCTGCCTTTTCTGCTTTGTCCGTTTTGTCCGCTTTATCTGATTTAGAAGACTTAATAAGGCTGTTGAAAAAGTGGTGAGCAGCGTTGTGGTGATTGTGATGCTGTGACTGATGGGGATTGTGGTGATTTGCACTGTTGTTCGCCAGCAGACCATTCGACTGGTGGTGCTTCGAGTCGGCGGATGAGGCGTGTTGACTATCTTCACTGTTTCCTGCGGCACTACCGCCACCACTCTTCAGTAGATTGTTCGTCGAAGAGGTGTTTGCTGCGACCAGGCTGGCTCGCGCCTTCACTGCCTGCTGGCTCGATTGTCGAATGATATCATCCGTCAGGTCCCAGAGGCAAATCTGCGTGTCCTGACCAACCGAGCCAATTCGGTAACTGCTCACGCTAAACTCATTAGACACCGACTTGCCCTTGTGCAGCACCGTCTTCGAGTCGTGGTGGTGGGGAGGTCTTCGAGAAGAGGAGGAGGAGGAGTTGAAGCTCCGCTGAAAGGGCTGGCTCTGCTCTCCCCCGATGATGCCGTCCTCCAGGCTGTTGTCGTCAAAGTCATCCGAGTCAATGGCACTGTGAGCATTGTAGTCGATCATGTACGGGTCAAAGGCCACCACATTCACCCAGGACTTGTGCCCCTGCCCTCGAGCTACAACTCGCTTCTCAGAATGCGACCACACCGTAATTAGGTCATCTTCCCCACCGGTAACGATGAACTTTGAATCGGGACTCCAGTCGATGCAGAGTAGACCGCCAAAGTAGGACCTCATTCGGCCGACCAGTTCCATCTTATCGTAGTGAAAAACACGAAGGAAGCCATCCTGCGATACGATGGCCAGAAATTCCCCACAAGGCGAAAAGGCAAACTCGTGAATGGCCCCTTCGCCAATTGACCAACGGAAGATTGGATTTCTTGAACTTTTAGTTTTGCACGTAAAAATGGTAAAGCCTTCGCCTGCTTTGAACTGCTGGTAATTGGGCGCCGTCGTACCGCAAGTTAGATCCTCCTTGAACAGATACATTTGCCCACTCGAGTAGCTGACCAGAAAGTTGCTCTTTGACCGTGGAAGCCATCGCACACAGGTGACCTTGCTCTTCTCAATAAGTCTCTGAAAAAAGAAGTTTTTTAGTTTGCAACAAAAAGAGCAGTTGAAGCAGGTGCATACTTCTGAATTGAAGAATCGATTGACTTCTGAGCGGTAGAGATCGACAAACTGAATTTGTCCAGTATTAAAACCAATCAACAGTAATGCTGTGCGATTGTCGACATTTGAGAAGATGTCATGGCACGTCGGAAAAGAAGCTTTGTAGTTGCGCCGATCCACCAGTTTGGTTAGATCAGATGGCTGGTGAAAAGTAAAGATTAGTGTTTGGCTTTCAGGACCAATCCAGTGGCATTACCTGAAGGCCGTTGAAGGCGAAAATAAAAACTTCTCTTCCAATGTTGAAAACGATCCGCTCGTCAAGAGACCGAAAATCTCTCGATGCGCGAATAAGGTTGTTTCGGTGCACATGTGAGTGTTCATTCGAGTTGTCACTGTGGTGATTCAAATACGCAGGCGATGCAGAGCTGACTGAGGTGTTGGTGGTGTTGGTGCCGATTGAGGCGGTACCGGGGCCCACTCCAACGTTGTTGGTAGTCGAGGTGGCGAGGGTGTTGTTGATCGAGTTTAGACCATCATTAGAGTGACTGATGCGATTGTAGTGAATGGTCGGGAGGAAGGGATTGCCTAGGTTGCCGCCGGAGGGATTCGGAGAGTTGATCACATCGGTGCAGTGCACCTTCGCAAAGGAGACCCGAACGGGCGTCGAGTTGGGCGCCGCCACGCCGATTCCATTGTTCGGCGCGTAGGTGGACACCTTTGGTCGGCTGTATTCAGCATGAGGCACCAGGTGGTAGGTGCCTTCTCGGGCGACCAGCTGAGTTTTGAGCTCGTTCAAGTGTTCGCTCGAGGATGACTGCATGACTCTGGGCCGTCATTAACGGCTTTAGATGATTCCGATGCTTACACAAAAAGGTCCCGTTTGACCTGGCGACCTTCTCTCCGCTAGAAGCAGCAGATTTGAGCACTGATCGCTAGCACCGGTGTAGCATGGCACACTAGATGATTATTGTTGGTAATGCAAGATTTATTACCCACAAGTGGTAAGAGCAGGTGATGAGTAACTGCCACAAAACAAAAAGAGCAAAGTGATAAGATTAGTACACAGCATGCCAACTTTTGAGTGATCAATCTAACTTGTGAGTACACAAAGTGATGATTATACCGTCAAATGTAGGGTTGCCCGACGATTCAGCTGGTTCTGGTGAAAATCATCCTCAACCAGACAATGTGATCAGCATAGCAAAGGCAAATGTGGCTGCACATCGTCTGAATGCAAGGAAATGGAGAGATTTGTCATTAGATCGAGGCAGCCAGAGATGACAATAAAACAATTACAACTGTTGCCTGGTGCTCTGTGGTCAATTGAGGTCAATGGTGTAGAAGGTCTCTCGAAGGGGATGGACCACTGAAGAGCTGAAGAGTTGATGAAAAGGATAGATAACAGAGATGAATCACTGGCGTGAGTTTGCACACACACACACACAAACAGTGCTCGCCGTGCTCGGTGTCACTGGAGACGGCACAGACTGCGAGCAGAGATGCGGCCAATCAGTGTGCGAACAGTAGTCGGACTGGTAGACGACCACAACAATGGGAGGATCCAGTGGAAGAGCTGGTCGTTTTGGATTTACCAGTGCCTGGAGCAGTGTCTGTCCGTCTGTGTGTCTCTGTCGCCAAAATAAACACACGGCACTCGGCGTGTTGAGAAGATCAAGAGTGGAACGCCAAACTGTCCGACCGGGGCAGGGAGGGACACAAGCTGCACTCTACGGCATTTTTAATCTGAGTAAGTGCACAGACACAGCTTCCTGAAAATGTACTCTGCTTTTCAATTGGCCTTAAAAGAGTTTGAGCTGCAAAAAAGATTAGTGTTCCAAAATAAATATTTTTTTCGACCAAAATGACACCAGATCTGCAGAAATCCATTTCATTACGTACTATGTGTTTGGGCCATTTGGGAGCCTGCTCTCCCAGTGTTTCATTGATTAAAACGACAGTCAGCTGAACGAAAGAAATCGTTCAAATCTTTTTAAATGATTAGAAAATAGATAAATCTGAAGTAATTTTCACTTAAGTTGTAAAACAATTTAAAAATGAACACTTTTGTTATTTTTTCTAGTATCAATCAAACTTCAATTAGGAAGTTTTAGTAAGATAAAGTGTATTCTGGAAAGTTCAATGAACGGCTATGTTCCATAATAACTTAAAAAGTATTTTAGTTTTCAGAGCTGTGGCATTGTTTGTTTACCTTTCAAGCTGCCGGGCTACTTTTAATTTTTACAAAAAGCTCAAAAAGAATTTTGTTCAACAATAATTACCGATGATCATATATACTTCGATTTTGCCCCATAAAGCTTAACAATTTAATTTGTACATTTAATAAGCACTATTTCTTGCGACACTGCGACTCTGACCATCTGTTTCAGCTGTTTTGTACAGTCCAATTACCGCCGCCGCCACCAATTACCGATCACTTCAGTGATTGCTCCTCTCTCATTCGTTTCCCAAACACTGACTTTTCTTTCCCGCGCTTCGAACTCGTGTTGGTGTTTTACCAGCGTTTTTCCCCTGCCAGCAGACAAGACACGAAGAAACGAGGCACCCGGTTCAGAGCAGAATGTGCGAGCTCCGGTAGTGGAAGCGAATGGGAGGAGAAGCAGAGGAGGAGGCATGCTCAGCACCAGGCACCCGCTGCTGCTGAGATGCTTTACGCGGATGCTGCTACCGTGCGAGTGCGCCTTCACTGGAGAGAAATGAAGAGAGACGGTTCCACACGGACTGAGCTAGCAGCTGTACCAGGAGAAGCAGTACCAGCATCGCCGTTGTCTCGCTCCCTCTTTCCCCTCTTTCCTCTCTCTCTCTTTTACTTTCTGACGCCCGTGTCCGCCGTCTGTCTCTGTCTCTGCATCTACTGTCTCTTTTTCTCTCTCTTTCTTTTCTCTTTGCTCTCAGTTCCTGTTCTGTTCTCAGCATTTGTCGATTCTGTTTAACTTGCTCATGTTTATGTCTCCTCCAGACGGCAAACGGCAGCTTCAGTTTCGCTCTAGTTCTTCACCCTCACCCTCATCATCATCATCGTCACTCTATAGACTGTTCACCTCTCCACTGCCTCCTCATCCTCCTTCCCGATGATCGAACCACCGACGACCAGGCATCGAGGCATCTTTGATCGATCTTCCATCGCGATTGATCACCGCACTCCATCTACATGTATGCTTGGTCGGTGCCGAACTCCTTCATCCTCCTCCTCTTTCTCTGCCGCATCGTGTTCTGGGCCACACTTCTCTCACTCTTTCACTCTTTTTTCTCTTACCTATCTTTCTGTCTTTCTTTGTCACTTCCCACTTTGTTTGCACTTTATCCCGGTGCACCATCACCGCCGACCATGACCAGTCACTGCTCGACACCTCGCACCTCCACCACCACCACACCATGAGCACTTCATCTTAAACACTCTTTCCTTTCTCTTCCCCTTCTTCTCTCCTTTTCTATGTCCTTTTTCACTTTCCTTTACAATTTCATTACTTCTCCTCATCTTCCCTTACTTTCACTTCAGTTTACCCGCCACTCGCTCCGTCATTCGTCATGTTGAAGAGCGCACAAGGGACGCGGGCCGCTTCCTGTACGTTTTGCAGGCTACCAGTTTAAATTCCTATTTCTTTAATCACTCACAATCTGCCTTTTCTTTTTCTTAGTTTCGGCAAAAATTCGTAATTTACAAGAGTACCACAATCGCCTTCTAAACAGCATCTCACCGCTTCCCTCCAGTGTCGACATCATCAATGTCCTCAAATTCTTCTCTCAAGCCATTCTTACGTAAGCAGCCTGCACATGTAACACCTTCGTCGCCGATGACTCAAACTGTGCGTTTCTTTTCTTTTCTCTGCAGAATTCTTCGCGATATTCCCTGCTTACCGATCGATCTCATCCGAGATCCATCACGTGATTCAGTCCGTATTAACTTTTTCCCCAATCTCGACTATCGCACGCTCTACTATGCGCTGGCTCAGATGCTCGACTCCTTTGCCAGCATTCAATCAACCTTAGCCGCAAGTGCTCCCGGTATGCGACCCTCTTGTGGTGTTTATTACCTTTGTAAGCATAATTTTGTCCTCTTCGCGCAGTTGTGTTCGATTACCTACTTCATGCAATCGTCTGCCTGGTTCCCTTTTTGGAGCACGAACTCATGGACAGCATGCCGATGACTGTCGCCAATACCATTTCACTGAATTTCGTATCTCATCAGGACATCATCGACATGCTTTGCTACAACATTTTACCCTTTACCCTTTACCGTAAGTTTTTTCCCTTTATTACGTGCTTACGTATTATTACTCACACACTCACTTATAGACGAGTATGGCGACGAGTCATCGGGTTTTGCAAATGCATCCATTCCCTCCATTCTGATGGTCGTCCTCAGTCACACCGACAGCCTCTCCCTGCACTCTCAACTGCTCGAGTGCCTAATGCGCCTTAAGAAGAACATCATCCAGGACTTGCTGGTGGTGATCGCCTACGGCACGGGCAAATCGCGCCACGCCGCCGTGGAGTTGCTCTTCCAGTACTGGCCAGGCCTCAACCCTTCTGTCCTTGACCGGCGAACGCTGTCGGAGAAACACGTGCCTTGGAAGCCCCTCACCTGCCAGAGTGGCAACTGCCAGAACTCACTGAACAACGAGGCGGTGAAGATTTGCTTCGCCTCGATGCTCGAAAGCGGCGCCGTCACCGGCGGCAATCCCAATGCGGCCCTCACCACCGACAACAAAGGCCGACCGCCCATTCCTCTGCTCATCTGCATCGACTGCGCCGAACAGGTGCGCGAGCAGAGCAGCATGGCCAAGAGCAAGTGCACCGACGTCCTCTTCAACGTCCTCCACCCGATGACGGAGATCTGCTACAGCTGCGAGGGCAAGAACTGCCTCTCTGCGGCGGCCAGCAAGCACTCCACCTCGGCCATGGCCGTCGTCACCTGCTTCAGTCTGGAGTGCACCAGCTACAACTCCAACAAGCCCGTCCGACTGTGTGCGCAGTGCCATGCAGCTCGCCACCTCACCTCGGCGCCTGTTCTTCCCTCCACCTCCGCTCCCTCCACCGCCTCCACCTCCGCCGGACCGAGTGCCCTCAAGGAGCCCTCATCTGCCCAGGCATCATCACCAGCTCACCACCGTCACCTCGTTCAGGAGCACCTGCAAACGCTCTGGCAACTGCCGCCTGACGCTCAGCAGCACTTCACCGAAGCAGTCATTTCCTTGCTGCGAGAGGCCTCAGTCCTGGAGAAGTCTTCCAAAGAGGGTGGCAGTGGTGCACGAGGGGCCCACGGACCAGGTGCCTCTTACATGAGCGGTGCTGGTGGCGGTGGCCCTGGTCTTGGCACCACATTCGGCCCCGGTGGCGTTACGGGAGGTGTGGGTGCCGTGGGCATCGGCGGTGGCTTTGAGGGCACCACGCCAAGTGGTCCTGGCGGGCTGAGTGCGCCTCGGGAGTCAGAAGGAGTCGACTCGACCATTGAAGAGCGACAACTGCTCAGTCGGTATGGCATTTGGCTGCTCATTGGCCTGTGCGACCCAGCCGAGGCAAACACCACCGAGCGCATGGAGTTACTTGGACGCATGCTGGCCATGCTCTGTCAGTGGTTCCACAACACCGCCTGTCTGCCGGACGACCAGGCTGGCTCGGCGCTGGAGCGCATCAAAAGTGAGTCCATTCACGGCTGGCTGATGAAGGTCATCGACTCACAGTTTCAACTGTTCGCCAACTGCCTTATTCCCAACCCTCCTGATTACGCTCAAATTGGCGGTCACTGGGAGAGCTGGCCGTCGATGACCATTCAGATTAAGGAGGGCTTCAAGCGTCTGC